ATCATTTGTTAATTGTTTCTCAGATTAGAACTAAAAATCCTTGAGACCCAAGAGCAAAACTAGCACAGAGCAAAGGTCACTACAGCCAAAGGGAGACGGTTCTAAGCCTACAGATATAAAACAGAAGCCTTTAAGGAAGTCAGTTGGCTTTTAAAACAAACTTTGTTTTTAAAAATGCGTCACACAAAAAAAAGAACCACATGAAGGAGACCGACTTCCACTGTTGGGGTCATGTCATTTCTTGTCACCTACAAATGTCTGCTTTGTGCAGGTAACACCGCCGTCCTCTGTCTTTTCTGAGTTACTCTTAATGTTTTCTGCTGTCATACAGGTTTCCAAATATCCCTATACAGTATGTCGGTGACATATCGAGAAGGAAGACAGCCAAACAGGGTTTTCTTATGTGAGAGCTCATCCGTTTCACAACACATTGACGTCACATCAGACTGGATTTACACAACAGGGACGGCAGAGAGTTCACAGAAAAACAGGACGTAACCGTGGCTGTAATCATTCCTGGTGACTGTGGGTGTGACATGACTGACCAGCGCCGGTGAGACCTGAATGCAGACTGCTGCCCCAGAGCGAGACAGAATCCTGATGAAGCCTCTGACACTGAATTGTGTTTCCATTTGTTTTTAATCACTGCTACAGAAAATGACTATGGATGTGAATTCATCATTTGAATGCTTGTTTTCTTTCTGCTGCTTGAGAGAGTTTTTTTGTTACAGCGTTTTCTTTCCAAACACTATTACGTGATGTGGACTGAATATGACGGAGAGTTTTGAAAGCAAAACATAATTTGGAGCAAGTAGCTGAATGTAATTACAAACTGGAACACGATGTTGAGATTGAGTCGCCTTCAACACAGAGGCTCCTTCATTCTGTGCTGTCTCATCTGGCCATTATGTATCTAACAAAGAAAATCACAACACATGAGAGGTAATCAATAAATTGTCTCTATTTCTGGATATTGATTGGAGACAGTTTTTCTTGTGGGACCACACTGGACAGTTGAGGGAGAACAATACTTTTTTTTAGCAATAAGATCTGCTGCTGGAACATTAGGATATGAGATCTCTGAAGAGCTGAGAAAAGACTTTTGGCTGGAAACCTTTCAATGTTACGAATAGCATTTGTAACTTCACGAGCTGTGAGGTTTCTTCAGTTTCTGTCACATCTCACAAGTTTGCTGTCAGGGTTTTGTGTGGTGTGATCAAAAGTGTGGCTGGCGGCCAACATCTGCCCTCAAGTTGCCTTTCAGTGTGAGTCTTACTTGAGCAGGTTTCCCAGGTTAAACAGAGCTCGGTTGTGCTGAGGGTTGGTGTCCAGTGCTTTCCTGTAGTAGCGCTCAGCCTCCTCCGGGCTGCGAGTGAGAGTGCCCAGATTGTTCATGGCGCTGGCATGACGAGGGTATAACCTGAGAGCAGAGGAGAGGATCACAGTGGTGTCAGTCGACAACATTTAATGCAAATCTTTGACTCCATCAAGGAAAATCAAAGAAATTGATGTGTGATCTTCATTAACACCTTCAGAAACTTTATTTTTTTCTTTTTATAACGCATCGACATGTGTGTGTTTATTTGAAGTTTAGCTTTGTGTTTTTAAACAAGAAAAAGCTTCGTCCTTTTGCAGAGAAACATAACAAAAGCTGCATGGTAATAGTGTTTAAAAGCACTTAGAAGATATGGCATGTATAGCAAGGGTTTCCAAGCTTTTCAGCCCCTGACCGCGAAATTACCGGAGCCAGACAGTCGCGACCCTCGCTGTTCCCAGAGGTGGTTAAAGTAAAGGGTTGTGTCCAGCTGTGCACATGCATTAGCAGGCCAATTCATATATGCACAACTGCAGGCAGAATGACAACACTGAAGAACCAAACAGTCTACCAACCATATTATACACTATAGTGATTTAATATATGCCAGCAGCAGAATGCACACGACACATTTAAGGACAAAGAGGAACCCTGCTCAGCACTGGGAACTCACGCCTGGCCTGGGAGGGTGTAAAATTCAAAACGGGCATTAAATCCAAAAAGTGCCCCATTTCCTTTGATGGCAGATCCCACTATGAACTTGCAAATGATTTTAAAAGTTTTTATAACTGTTTCAGCACTCCACACATAGTAACCCTTGCTCAGGGCAGATGGACATACATGTAGACAGGGACATGGTTTCTAAACTCTGCACAAGAGTTAAGGAGATGAAATGAAATGAATGAATGAAATGAAATGAAAAATACTTTATTTATCCCAGAAGGCAATGATGACCAGAGATGACCCAGGCAATATTGGTGGCCGACTAGCTCAGAACTGTATTGTCCTTCATTTTTACAAAATCACTTCAAGTTCATAAGGCTCCTCACCGCTGAAAGGAACTGATACTTGTTCCTGTGCCTGAGTCTAAAACCCGTGTATGACTTCCGTCCAGTGGCACTCACTTCTTTGGTGATGAAAACCTTTGAAAAAATCATCAAAAATGAGATTGTGGGGGCGGCTGAGGTGGACTGGGACCCACTGCAGTTTGCTTACAGGTCAGACAGCGGTGCTGAGGATGCCATATGTACCATGCTTCACACGTCCTGGACATGTGGAGGGAGTAAAGACTTTTGTGTGGCTGCTTTTTGTTGATGTCTCTTCAGCTTTTCACTTCATTCAACCTCACATTTTAGCAGGTCACCTTACCAGCTTTTACCACACTGACCCCGGCTTAATATCACGGCTGGTCCACTTTTTAACTGACAGATCTCAGAAAATTAGAGTAAATGGCATTTTATCTGATGAGCTTTTATCTTCCACTGGTTCCACCTCGGGGTGTCGCCTTTTATTTGTCTTGTAAATGAGTGTCAGAGTAACTATGAGGACAGCTTTAAAGATCCAGTGTGTGAACCATATGCAAAGAAGAGCTCACTCTACCAAACTCAAAGCGCTACTGCAAGCCTCTGATGAGTTGATCAAATCCAGCGCAGTGTCATCTGAACACTGCCTCACTGGAAGCGATGCAACTCAGAGAAATCTGCCCTTTGGTTTTTACAAAGGCGTTAACATGATCAGTGCCACTGATCTCCTTCAGCTTGACTGGTGACCTCAGAATAAAGCGGAGTCTGAAATATGTCTTCTTCATTTCACATGTCAGAACTTTTTTTTTTTTGTTTTAGAATGTTTCTAAAAATATAACAGATGTTAAATGCACTCACAGACTCTTGGACGACATACGGTCAAGAAATACAGGGAAAAGGGCAGTTTGTTGTGACACCATGACAAACTGTTTAACTTGACTCGTAAAAAAAAAATCTTTAATATAGTTATTTTTTCTTTTTAAAAACATGCAAGTACTTTACCTCCCTGATTAGTCAGTGACTCATCTGGATAATTAGAGACATCAATAAATGAATCTGTTCACAAGCAGTCGTATTTGTATTCTTGAATAATGGGCAGATCATCTTGGCATGAAAACGGTCTGCAACAGGCGTTTTATAGCTCTGGTTTTAAGCACCACTGTCAAACTATATTCATCTCAGAAATCACTAATGGCTGCGCACTTCCAGAGGGAAGCACACTATAACATGATCTTGATTGTCCTAAGTGGCTTGTCACAGTGATAAGGATTATCTTCAGAACAAATGGTGCAGATAAATCAGCAGTGAGTGCGTGGAAGCTGCAGCCGGCAGCCTCTCTGCTGACATTTACTGATGCTCTCCATCACTGCTACAAAAGACCTCGGTGTAATTGAAATACACTTTTATAGTAAGTGCCTATAACGGTGACACAAGCCTGACAAGACACCCAGGGCGAGAGAGTGCAGGCTGGTAACGCGCCGTACTGTTTCTATGGTAACCCTGCTCCACGTGTTAATGGGCTGGTGCATCGTGGTGCAGAAAGAGGGGCAGCTGTGGAGACACCTGAGAGGAAGCAGCAATGAACAGCACTGATCAATTCGCCTTCTACTGATTCACGGTTGACACTTTAAGCTGCTTGATCAACAATCCATAGAACTGAGCGGCCAAGAAAGGATCCACTCAGGCTGTGAAAAGATTCACAACCAGATGTCTGTGTGTCTGTTTCCCACAGGCCTGTAGGTTACAAGATGTAAAGTTACATTACGCTGGTCATTCCACTGAAGACAGCCTGGTGGGACCTTCATCATTGCCTTTTTAGATCGCAACACATCAATAACTTCTAGGTTATCCTTTGTATCTGTACACGTAAATAGGGTCAATATTTTTCATATTTAATTTCAAGAGAAACTTAACACCTAGTTTTCCTTTTGAAGACAACGCATTTTACAAATTTGAGAGACTGCCTTCACCAGCCATGAGTGGTTATAACACTGGCTGCATTTTTTTAATGACAGCCAGCAATTTGTGCTTGCAGGCTATTATCACTAAATCAACCATTAAAAGACATATTAAATTACACAAATTACAGAGGGGTCCCACTGGCAAAGACCACCATTTATTTAAAACTGAATACATTTTTTTTTATTACAAATGAAAGTATCAGCTTAACATCTTCAATTTCAAAGAAACAGTCATAAATTTAGAATATCTGTAGTATTTAATTCCTCGATTTTGCCTTAATGACAGCGGCTTGGACTCCACCAGTTCATTCAAACTCTGAAAATCCAAGTTATCCCTGTGACTTAAAACACAGGACCTCTTGCACATGTCTCTCATAAGACTGACGTGTAGGAGGGAAATGAGCAGCTCTGAAGCTTCAGGCTCCCTTACACCATCCATCCATCCATCCATCCATCATCTATACACCGCTTAATCCTCATTAGGGTCGCAGGGGTATTGGAGTCTATCCCAGCTGACTCAGGATGAAGGCAGGTTCACCTGGACAGGTAACCAGTCTATCACAGGGCTACACTTAGAGACAGACAACCAAGCACACTCACATTCACACCTACGGACAATTTACAATCACCAATTAACCTCAGCATGTTTCTGGACTGTGGGAGGAAGCCGGAGAACCTGGAGAGAACCCACGCTGCACGGGGAGAACATGGAGACTCCACGCAGAAACCACCAGGACACGAACCAGCAACCTTCTTGCTGCGAGGCAACACTGCTACCAACTGCACCACCCTGCAGCCCTTCCCTTACACCAACATACTAAAATACATTTATTTGTGATATTTGTGCCAGACCTTCATCAGGCAAAATCTTCTATGATCTGTTCCACAGAGCTTCTTGTAATGTCAGAAGTGGTTGTGTTTCCCTTAAATGTTCAGTGGGGTTCTGATCGGGTGACTGTGGAGGGAAGTCGGTGGCACTGCTTGGTCTCTGGTCTTCAAGTCAAAGCTCTGAGGTGTGTTTGGGCTCATTATCCTGCTACAGCATGAATCTTTCTCCAGAAAACCAGAGGATGAAGCATGTCTCTGCAGGACAGAGTGCTGCTTCTTCTTGGTCATGGTGGAGTTGATTCTCTGCAGGTGTCCAGCTACAGACTTCAACATTCCCAACAGTACGATTCACTTTGCGCACAGAGACAAACAAAGGAGCCTCCAGGGAATCTGTCAGCCACCAACAGAGTTCTGAGCACACACAATGAACGACACAAAACACAGCTAGGAAGTACCAGCTCACTGTCCCTCAGCCTCACAGTGACATGGTAAAACAGGGACAGATAGCAAAAAACAAGATACCCGTTTAAGCAACTTCAAAAGAATGAATGAAGGGAAACTTTGAGGATTTAAAAAAAAACTTTGGGAATTTAAAATGCGAAGGATTCAAAGGATTCTCGATCCCTCTCACTGTATTCCTGGGGGGAAAAGAAGGCACAGGAAAGGAAGCGGAGGCTGATTAATTAAAGTGAGAGTGAGTGGTCTAGTGGGTTTTGGGTTATTACGAGCTGGGATGTGGGTTTGGAGCCAGATGAAAGTGCTGAAGCTCTCTGCTCAGGGTTTGGCAGGATGGCAAGCTGGATTAGCAGGGAGCTGAAGCTCCCACATAGGCAGCATGTGGCTCTGCTGCTGCAGAAAGCCCGGAGAAGGAAGGCCAGGGAGAGGAACGAAGGAAGCACAGAGAAAGGAGCGATGAGGAGATGGAAATGCAAAATTTAGAGCGTGGGAATGATCCAACATCTTTCTATTACAAAAACTGAAAAATAAGCAGGAATTCCACAAGTAGCACTGTATGATGACATTGTTATGACCACGAACTGAGGCTGGACACTGAACCTTTTTCATGTTAAAATCGTGAAGGAATACCATTGATTTTTGCCTGATATAATGACAATAGTTAATACAACACCTGCACTTGGTTACTTTACTGTTTACTTTACTGTTTACTCAACAATGGTTTTATTGAAGAAGACACGCTTCTTTGTGAGGCTGTTCTTTAAAACAGGGGTTCTCAACTGGTCTCACCCTGGGACCCACATTTTCCCATGGTCATTAAGTCACAACCCACTTTTTA